GAAGATGAAAGAAGTAAAACTATGTCAAAGTTTTGTAATCATAAATCGATATAGGTATGATTAAAAAGAGATGAATTGATGACAGGTAGAAAAGCATATTAACAAATCGGGTTAGCGACTTGCTATCCAGACTGTAATATTCAGTATAATTTCACAGCACACATTTGTCAAACGGAACCTATGCAATATTAATATTTGTAAATGCTGCTTATTTTAATTATATATTACCAATCCCTCCAAAAAATGGGGCATAAAGACAACCAACAAAATTTAAACAGCTCTAAAATTTAAGGTATTTTACGTGCATTTCAAACAATTACATTCATAGGATTCTACCATTTCTACCAGCCAAATGTAAACAACCACCTCCAATAAATTTAACAACTTTTGTTTGTCACCGGAAGTGGGACTGGGTCTGTGGACTGAAATTATCCCTTGTACATACTTTCGACTCCATTGAGTAACAATTGTTTTCCGAATTTAAAATTACGTTCAAGATGTTGTTCAAGCCTAAAATTTACAATTGAATGTTTCCGAAACAACAGTATGACAAACATGTAGTGAACAAAAAATATTTACACCCTATACAAAAAAAAATGAGGTTTACGATGCGCAAGCATATGATATACTTAATTAAAAGTGCAAGTCAAAGTTAATATGCATACAAAATAGCAGCTGCTTCTATTAAAAATTTCTAATTAATTATTTAAATCCTTACAAAACGATATACTAACAAGCAGTTTAAGCAAAGTCAAATTTTGAAATAAACTGCCTTCTGATATGCAGTTAGCCGCCAAAATAATTAACATGAATATTTTAGTAGTTACATAAAAACCACCGTTGAATGCTTAGAATTACTTGCATAAAACTTACTAATGATTTGCGTTGAAAAAAGTAAAAAATTTTGCTATGTGGCTAATGGCTTCACGGACACGTTATTATTTTACTAACGCATCACTGCCGCGATATTAAAAAAAAAAAAACAACACAAAACATGTTCAATCATTGTGTAAAGAATGGGAACAATTAAAACAAATAAAAAATGACGCCAAAAATTTGAATCCCAAAGCAATTTTAATTTTGGATCAAATTCAAAATTACAACAAGAAGAAACCAAAATGGTCTGAAACGACAATTCGTTATTGCATTGCCTGGAGATTTTGTTCGCCAAGGGGTTACGAATTTCCAAGAAATGACTTCCTGAAACTCCCATGTAAGACATTACGAAAATATTTTGGTTCTGAAAATAAACATTTAATAAAGGAACGATTGACAAGCGAAATTAAAAATTTGAACACTTCGGAACGCGTATGTTCTTTAATTGTGGACGACATGGTCGTGAAAGAAAGTATCAGATATTCAAAGGCAGAAGATCGAATTTTTGGATTGGAAACGCTTCCTAAAGTCAATACTATTACTAAAAAACCAGTTATAGCAAATCAATTACTCTGTTTTATAATTCATGGCATTTCAACAAAGTATGTAATCCCGGCGAGCTACTATTTTCATAAAAAATTAAGCAGCAAGGAGTTGCACAAACTGGCACTTGAAGTGTTGCAATTACTTGCAGAATGCCAATTTATGGGTGTACGAATTGTTGGAGACAATCACAAAAATAATGTAGCGCTCTTTAAACATTTTGGAAATGGCTGCCTTCAAACTTGCATTCCACATCCTTTCAGTGTTGGTTTAAAACTTTTTTTCAGCTTTGATTACTGCCACCTAATTAAAAATGCCAGAAACATATTTTTAGACCACGATATGGCTTCTGAAGACGGAATTATTTCAGCTAACTATTTAAGAGAGTTGGCCGAAATTCAAGGAAACTTAGTTGTAAAGCCTGTTCGTTACTAAACAAGAAAACATCTTTCCCCAAGTAACTTGGAAAAAATGAAAGTACATCTAGCTGTTCAAATATTCTCAACTTCAGTAACTGCATCCTTGAGATATCTAGCCACGCATGGTTATGATGGAGTTTCTTATTTTAAAGAGTGTTTGGCTACAGTGCGACATTTGGAAACAATGTTCAAATTTTTCAAACTTCATGACGTAAGTAACAAAAGTCAGCATGTCCGACAACATGACCATGATGTTGCACCATACACTAATACGTCTGATGATCGTTTATTATGGCTAGAGGAAGAATTTCCATTATATATTAAAGGCATCCAAGAAAGGTCGCAAGCGATGGGAATGCGGGGTTTGACAAAAGAAACTGCCGAAGCATTTTTGTTTACAAGCAAGAGCACACATCTCTGCATCAAGTACTTAATAAGTGAACTAAACTTTTTTTATGTTTTGACAAGAGGATTTAGTTCCGATGCGATAGAGTCTTGTTTGCTAATGTTCGGTTGAGAGGTGGGTCCAACGATGTTACAGATTGTAAAGCAGCCGAGCATGCACTTCGCCAAATTTTGAAAAGCGGTATAATTAAAAACGTTAATTCAAGTAATATTGCTTCTGACTGCAGTTACATTAGTTTTGTAACTCCTCACCTAGACCAAAATTCATTGGACACCTGTGATTTATCATTGGGTTCATGTTTTTAAAATTACTTATACAGGGCAATTCAAAAAGTGCGTCAATTTGTTTTATTGATAAAATCAGAAACAGCTCACTCCATTTTCCCGAAAATTTGTGTATTCACTTGCATAACACTTCACTTCACCTATCCAAAATGATATTAGTGCACTTGTAAAAATGTTGGTAACGTCATCACTCATCACAAAATTTGTTCAAGGCAAAACTCATTTGAAACGCACGCGTAACACGTTTCTTTACATTTACTTTAACATTGCATACATAACTATTTTTGTTTTAACTTATGGGGATTTCATTAAACAATAAAATTAGCAAAATCAAATTATAATTTTTCGAAGAAGCGAGAAATGTTCTGCTGAAATAACCTTCGATAATTTTTTTTGTTTGCAGCCGACAAACTGCCAATGCCAACCAACCTAGCCGAGACGCGGCCGGCACCCGGACGTGTCGATCGTAAGTGATGTTTCTGCATTTCTCCTCACCCCTTTTTTTCTTTCTTTTTCTCTGATTTTCTAAATTTTTGGTTTTCTATAATTTTTTCTTGTTTTCTTTGCAGCTCATCAGGTGCGGGTCATAGTAGATCCTGTGCCCGGGGTCTCTCCCGTGCCCATTTCATTGGAGGTAGGCCCGACGGACCTCCCTACGCGGGAGGCGATTTTGACACTGGGAAACGGTGTCGTCGTTGCGTTTCAGGGAACAGCAACGGCGACGACCGTGATCATTAGGTTATAGCTTAATTGTTTTTTTTTTTTTAATTTTAAGTTTGTGTTTATTTTAATTTTGTATTTTTTTAATTTTAGTTTTGTTTTTTTTTTTTTTAATTTCAACTTAACATAAATTTGTCATGTTTGTATTTTAATTCTTTTTCCTACTCCACAGTGTGTTAATAAAAGAGGCCAAGCTAATTCCTGATGCACAGTAAAGTGCAGTGCTACGTTTATTAGTGGCCCAAAGTGTAATCAGTAGTCACTGGGTTACTTAATTCCGCATTAAGTTAATTGTCTTTAAAATGCTTATATTAAACATCGATTTGTTCGTTATAAACTCTTGTGACAAACTATTTGAAGACCACAAATACGCATATATCTACAGGTTGTTTAAAAGTGGGTATGGATATAGCTAAATACAGGGTCATCATAAATGATTGTAGTCAACTTGGCTTTGAAAACAAATGAATTTTTTGCTGTTGCCGCTTCATAATACGGTTCGAAGTAATTCGAACTATTAATTAAATGTCATGTTCTGTTTGAGGTTATTTTCAAAAATAAATAAAACATTCTTTAAGTGTTTAGGCCTAACTGCACCGGTTTCACTTAACACTTAGAAGTGTTACGTAAATTCATTTGTGTCCGTGCCCCCGTGCCTCGTGTGTTCGTGCAATTTATAAAAAAAATATGGAACAACAAAATGCCGAATAACCAGTTGTACACCGGAGGAGGTTTTAATTATGGATTAAGTTTATGAATATGAATCCAAAGCTACCATAGAAAATAAAAAGGACGATGTCATTTACTGGTGCGACAAAAATTCTAAAAAAGTGGTACGAGAACAAGAAAAATGAAGACCGGAAAACAGCCGCAGACGAAGAGGCCGAAAGAAGAAAGATTGGCAAAGGACCACGTCCAGTATTTGAAACAATGGATCCTTGTTTTGGTTAAGTTACGGACATCACAAATCAAAACACTTGTGGAGACTGGAGACGTACATTTCACATAGTGGGGACGAAAATGAAAGCATTAAACTAACAAATAGCCAAGATGGTGCAGAGGAAATCCTGTGTGTTTAGGTACAAAATGACATCACAGTATTGGTTCCAATGTTCAACAGAAAAGCATAGTTGAACAGGGTGGTAGTCAGTGTTCTGTGGTCATGATTTACCAACAACTTCAAAAGAAGTAAGTATACATTTCATTGTGATCTATAGAAAATTTACTGTTTTTAAGGACCACTGGCGTGTTACATTCCAAATAATTTTAAAAAGCTGATGGATCAGTAACTTCACACTTCACACTAAAAATTGGTTTAGTGGAAGAAGAGCAAAGGTTATGGAGACTTCATGGGAACATAATTTCACAGCAGTGGCAGGGTTATGGAGTGGCAAAATTAAAAAACCAATATTTCAGGCAGAAGTTGTTAACTACAAAAGAAGGAACGAGAAATTGAAGAATTTAATTTTAGGAAAAGGGTTTTAAAACCAGACATTGAATTAAATGTACTTACTTCAAATTAAAACATTAAAGAGTCCATTTTCAATTAAATGATGCTCATTTTTAATGTAATGTTAACAATAACATGAGATATTGTTAGTTTATAAATACATTTTTAGTATGTTGAAAATGGACTCTTCAATTAAATGATGCTCATTTTTAATGTAATGTTAACAATAACATGAGATATTGTTAGTTTATAAATAAATTTTAATATGTTTTTCACTATAAATGAAATCAACAAAAAAAAAATTTATTACCAATAAATTTTTACTGTCAAATATTACAATCTGTTTTAAAATGTTGTGTAAAACAACAGCGACAATCACAACTGTTAACACAGGAAACTGTCATTTCAGAATCCCAAATGTGCACCCAATTCTATTGCGGCCTCCAATGTGTCACTGATAACAGAGCTGTTGTACTGGAGTAACGGGATATATCAGCAGTGTCAACAAGTATTTTTTTAAGGGATAACTTGTTACTTAGAAATATAATAATATAATAAAATTCTCTTAAAATATTCTATCCAAGAGCACACAACTTTGCAGTTGTGTATTTTCAAACAGATCTTAAACTGAACAATGATTAAAAATAGTACAATCATTTGTAGCTACTGATCATTGTGCCACAATATTTGAAATTTAATCATTTCATCACATATGGCTTGTACATTAATCAAGAGATAATCTTCCTGATTTCTAAAAATTTCTGGATCTTCTCCACCTATAACTTTTACTATTTCATTTTTTGTGTTCTATGTTAACAAAAATTCATATACCTGGTAATTTAATTTTTATATGTGCATATGCAGTCCAAGGCGCCAATGAAGTCTGGAAAACGAGCTAGATGAACAACAATCTTTCACATTTGCTTGCTCGTCTACAATTTGAGGCATCACAAAATTTTTTTGGTACAGTATAATCACTGCTCTGGGTACTCAAGGAATTCTTCTTTTCAAAAACAAAAGGATTTTCAGCACTCCAAACTCTATAATTTTGCGAATTAACGTAGCCATTTAGATGAAACCATGCTTCATCGGAAAAAAATGACAAATCCAAAATTCTGTTGTTGTTCATGTTGTTTTGAAACCATTCACAATATACAACATGACGAGGATAATCAGCTGGTTTAAGTTCATGGACTGACGATACTTTATAGGGATGCATATGTAATGTTCTTTTTAAAACTTTCTGACAAGTGGTGTTATGGGACACCAGATTGCAAAGACAGTTTACTTAAAGATTTTTTTGGGCTTTGCTCCATTCATTCCCTCAAATCTTCGACGACCTCTTCACTAACTGGAGGCCTTCCTGGTGACTTGCCTTTAGAAACATTTCCAGTGCTGTTGAATCGGTCAACGATTCTTTTTATGTGTGTCATCAAAAACTGTTCTTCAATGTTTAATTCTGGAAATTTTGCCAAATACTCATCCTTGCAAGCTTGAACAGAATACACCCATTCCCCGTCCGCATTTAACGTCCCATTTCGATAGTAAGACAACAATAAACGTATTTTGTTCAAGAGTGTACCCCATCTTAACCTAAAACAGATTTATTTGAAATATGAATACACATTAATTCATTTCTAGTTACCTTAATCGCTGTTTTCAATCGTTGTAGTTTTGATAAAAACTGGTTTAATTCAATTTAATTTATAACAAAGAAGACTGGAACAACAACACAAGTAAACAAGACGTGCGCGGGAAAGTATTATGACATATGACCAGTATGACATTCTTCTGACAGCAAAGCAAAACAAAAATTCCCCATAACTTTAGTGGACTTTAATTAATAATTTTTTGAAAGTGAGAAGCGGCACATCAAAACAATTGCGTCAACGCCTACTTCGACTACAATCATTTATGATAACCCTGTAGTTATTTCCAGAACGGTGTATAAAAACTCATTGAGATGTGGTATCTAGGTAAAAGTATTCGAATTCCATTACCGACAACGCAGCCAATTTTGACGTTATCAAACGAGTTCGTCCTTGCCATAGAGGCGACGGCAACGACCACCACCGTAGTTGTTCGCTTTTAACTTTTAATTAATTTTTTGTTAGTTTTAATTATAATTTTTCGAAGGAGCAAGAAATGTTCTGCTGAAATAACCTTCGATCAATTTTTTTGTTTGCAGCTGACGAACGGGAAACTGCCCGTCCCCAACCAGAACGTGTAGATCGTAAGTGATTTTCTGCATTTCTCCTCATCCCCGTTTTTTCTTTCTTTTTCTCTGATTTTCTAAATTTGGTTTTCTCTTATTTGTTCTTGTTTTCATTGCAGCTCATAAGGTCCACGTAATTATAATAGATCCTGTGCCCGGAGTCGCTCCCGGGCAATTAATTTTTGAAGTCGGCGCTGCGGATTTACCGACAACGCAGCCAATTTTGACGTTATCAAACGAGGTCGTCCTTGCCATAGAGGCGACGGCAACGACGACCACCGTAGTTGTTCGCTTTTAACTTTTAATTAATTTTTTATTAGTTTTAATTATAATTTTTCGAAGGAGCGAGAAATGTTCTGCTGAAATAACCTTCAATAATTTTTTTTGTTTGCAGCAGACAAACTGCCAATGCCAACCAACCTAGCCGAGACGCGGCCGGCACCCGGACGTGTCGATCGTAAGTGATGTTTCTGCATTTCTCCTCACCCCCTTTTTTTCTTTCTTCTTCTCTGATTTTCTAAATTTTTGGTTTTCTATAATTTTTTCTTATTTTCTTTGCAGCTCATCAGGTGCGGGTCATAGTAGATCCTGTGCCCGGGGTCTCTCCCGGGCCCATTTCATTGGAGGTAGGCCCGACGTACCTCCCTACGCGGGAGGCGATTTTGACACTGGGAAACGGTGTCGTCGTTGCGTTTCAGGGAACAGCAACGGCGACGACCGTGATCATTAGGTTATAGCTTAATTGTTTTTTTTTTTTTTAATTTTAAGTTTGTGTTTATTTTAATTTTGTATTTTTTTAATTTTAGTTTGGTTTTTTTTTTTAATTTCAACTTACTATAAATTTGTCATGTTTGTATTTTAATTCTTTTTCCTACTCCACAGTATGTTAATAAAATAGGCCAAGCTAATTCCTGATGCACAGTAAAGTGCAGTGCTACGTTTATTAGTGGCCCAAAGTGTAATCAGTAGTCACTGGGTTACTTAATTCCGCATTAAGTTAATTGTCTTTAAAATGCTTATATTAAACATCGATTTGTTCGTTATAAACTCTTGTGACAAACTATTTGAAGACCACAAATACGCATATATCTACAGGTTGTTTAAAAGTGGGTATGAATATAGCTAAATAGTTATTTCCAGAACGGTGTATAAAATCTCATTGAGATGTGGTATATAGGTAAAAGTATTCGAATTCCATTACCGACAACGCAGCCAATTTTGACGTTATCAAACGAGTTCGTCCTTGCCATAGAGGCGACGGCAACGACCACCACCGTAGTTGTTCGCTTTTAACTTTTAATTAATTTTTTGTTAGTTTTAATTATTATTTTTCGAAGGAGCAAGAAATGTTCTGCTGAAATAACCTTCGATCAATTTTTTTGTTTGCAGCTGACGAACGGGAAACTGCCCGTCCCCAACCAGAACGTGTAGATCGTAAGTGATTTTCTGCATTTCTCCTCATCCCCGTTTTTTCTTTCTTTTTCTCTGATTTTCTAAATTTGGTTTGCTCTTATTTGTTCTTGTTTTCTTTGCAGCTCATAAGGTCCACGTAATTATAGATCCTGTGCCCGGAGTCGCTCCCGGGCAATTAATTTTTGAAGTCGGCGCTGCGGATTTACCGACAACGCAGCCAATTTTGACGTTATCAAACGAGGTCGTCCTTGCCATTGAGGCGACGGCAACGACGACCACCGTAGTTGTTCGCTTTTAACTTTTAATTAATTTTTTGTTAGTTTTAATTATAATTTTTCGAAGGAGCAAGAAATGTTCTGCTGAAATAACCTTCGATCAATTTTTTTGTTTGCAGCTGACGAACGGGAAACTGCCCGTCCCCAACCAGGACGTGTAGATCGTAAGTGATTTTCTGCATTTCTCCTCATCCCCGTTTTTTCTTTCTTTTTCTCTGATTTTCTAAATTTGGTTTTCTCTTATTTGTTCTTGTTTTCATTGCAGCTCATAAGGTCCACGTAATTATAATAGATCCTGTGCCCGGAGTCGCTCCCGGGCAATTAATTTTTGAAGTCGGCGCTGCGGATTTACCGACAACGCAGCCAATTTTGACGTTATCAAACGAGGTCGTCTTTGCCATAGAGGCGACGGCAACGACGACCACCGTAGTTGTTCGCTTTTAACTTTTAATTAATTTTTTGTTAGATTTAATTATAATTTTTCGAGGGAGCGAGAAATGTTCTGCTGAAATAACCTTCGATTAATTTTTTTGTTTGCAGCTGACGAACGGGAAACTGCCCGTCCCCAACCAGAACGTGTAGATCGTAAGTGATTTTCTGCATTTCTCCTCATCCCCGTTTTTTCTTTCTTTTTCTCTGATTTTCTAAATTTGGTTTGCTCTTATTTGTTCTTGTTTTCTTTGCAGCTCATAAGGCCCACGTAATTATAGATCCTGTGCCCGGAGTCGCTCCCGGGCAATTAATTTTTGAAGTCGGCGCTGCGGATTTACCGACAACGCAGCCAATTTTGACGTTATCAAACGAGGTCGTCCTTGCCATAGAGGCGACGGCAACGACGACCACCGTAGTTGTTCGCTTTTAGCTTTTAATTAATTTTTTGTTAGATTTAATTATAATTTTTCGAGGGAGCGAGAAATGTTCTGCTGAAATAACCTTCGATCAATTTTTTTGTTTGCAGCTGACGAACGGGAAACTGCCCGTCCCCAACCAGGACGTGTAGATCGTAAGTGATTTTCTGCATTTCTCCTCATCCCCGTTTTTTCTTTCTTTTTCTCTGATTTTCTAAATTTGGTTTTCTCTTATTTGTTCTTGTTTTCTTTGCAGCTCATAAGGTCAACGTAATTATAGATCCTGTGCCCGGAGTCGCTCCCGGGCAATTAATTTTTGTTTGAAGTCGGCGCTGCGGATTTACCGACAACGCAGCCAATTTTGACGTTATCAAACGGGGTCGTCGTTGCTATAGAGGCGACGGCAACGACGACCACCGTAGTTGTTCGCTTTTAACTTTTAATTAATTTTTTGTTAGTTTTAATTGTAATTTTTTTTATTATAATTTTGTTTTTTTAATTATAATTTTTTTTATTTTAATTTTGTTATTTTTTAATTGTAATTCTTTTTATTTTAATTTTGTTTTTTTTTTATTTTAATTTTTTTTAATTTTAATTTTGTTTTTTTTTCTAAATAGAAATTTGTAATTTCTGTATTTTAATTCTTTTTCCCGCTCCATAGTGTGTTAATAAAAGAGGCCAAGCTAATTCCTGATGTACAGTACAGTACTACGTTTATTAGTGGCCCAAAATGTAATCAGAAGTCACTGGGTTACTTAATTCCGCATTATGTTAACCGCGCACACAGGTCCCAAGTTGGGAAAACTCGGCCAAAATAGGAAACACCGAACAAGCGATTCTAAGAATTTGTACTAAAGAGTCAGATAGAAGGATGTTTAGGCTACCTCATAACAATAGGCAAATCGTTTAATAATCGTTTATTACCCTCAAAATTGTAGTTGTCGTTTAGCGTTTCTCGAGAGTGTTCGTGCGCAAAAGTTTGCGCATTGTGACTTTGTTTTCATAAAAGGTGTTCTAAGTAGTTTGATACTGTTTTGGCGTTATGGAACCAACTCCATCAGGTATGTAGATTATTTTTTATATATTTTAAAGTTCTAAGAATGAGCCATCAGAAAGAATTATTTAAATGAAATTGGTGATGCAACAATTGCGCATTTTTTTATTAATTTATTAATTCATCGAGTCGAAAAGTAGCATATACCACCATATACCATAAAGATTGAATTCGGAAGTAAAAGATTAGCTTATTATCTTTCAAATATGGTAAGATTTGGCTGCAACTAGCTGCCCCTTCAAGAACAGTAAACCAAAAAGTGATTGAATGTATTGGCAAAAAATAAGGAAAATTAAATATAATAAGCATTCACGTTCGGTAGAAGTAACTGACAGAAACTTTTCTGTGGTTAAGTTGCAACCTTAAGATCACTAGAAATTTAAGATTGGCATCAACTGTCTAATGTTCTAATTCAAATGTCAAATCTGAATTGTGTGGAAAAAAAACGAAGTTTTTCTAATTTCAACACGCTTCGTTTCAAGAAAATCCTTACATACAGCATGGAAACAATTTCCATAAAAGTAATCACGAGAAAGCTCATTTTAAAGGAAAAGAAACAAGAAATATTTCGTGGTTTTCAAAAAATTGGGTAAAACTGAAACAGTTAAACTGGTGGCAGAAATATTCTCCGTAAAGTTCGGTAGTGTTGTCGAGTGTTTTTCGAGTTTTAAAATAATACAGATACAGCGGCGCTTGTGCCGTTAATATTATAATCAGAATCAGAAAGATGACTGCGCAGATTTATATACCTACATGCTTTGTTGGTTCCGTTCTACAATTGGTTTTTAAGTTTTATATAATCGTTATTGTTTTGTAAGAGGTAAAACACTCGGCTTTGAAAATAATTGTACGTAATACACGTATAAATTTAGGTTTCCGAAGGCGAAGTTTTTCACATTTTAACCCTGGAATGCTTAGTGGGGTTTCCAGTAACCCCAGCCAAAATTAGAAACTTGGTAACTTTTTTGCGTTGAGGTTTGCATCTCTGCGGGACCAGCTATGTTCGTTTGAGGTTATGTTTTAAGTTACACGCGCGTTTAATCTTTGTATACTTGCTTTGTTTTTGTATTATAAAGTAATTGGGGTGACGTGTAACCCCAGGTAAGCATTGATGCATAAATCATTTTCCACATTCTTTCAATTTTATTTGAATTTAGATGGCAGTAAGACCGGGTGATTCTCATTTTGAAGAGACCGTTTTACGCTGGTTCGATGAAGCTGACTCAGAATATGATTCTCATGGAAGTGACCAAGAATTTGAGGACCATATGTCGGAACACTCACATGTTGGAAGTGAGATGTCATCTTCTGATAATGAAGATGAGAATGAAGACACCACTGTTCAAGAATCAGGTGTGTCTATCAAGGGTAAGAATGGTCATCGTTGGAGCTCTGTGCCCCCTTCTCGTACTCGGACACTTCAACGAAATTTGGTTTTACGCATTCCAGGACCAAAAGGTGCAGCAAAAAGTATTTCCACAGAATTGGAAGGTTGGAAATTGCTTGTTTCTGATGGAATTATAAACAAGATTGTTCTGCACACAAATTCAGAAATTGGCAGAAAAAAAATGAACTATACTGAAAATTGTGGTTATGTTGGTGAAACGGATACAACTGAATTACTTGCTCTTTTTGGTCTTCTTTATATATCAGGATGCAGAAAAGATATTCACCTAACAACAGCTGAAATGTGGTCAAAGTATGGACCTGAAATATATCGCAGTATTATGAGTGAAACACGTTTTCGTTTTTTGATATCGTGTATAAGATTTGATGATAAAACTGCGAGAAATCGCGAAGATAAATTTTCTCCCATTCGGGAGATATGGGAAGAGTTTGAATCAAATTGTACAAAATATTATACTCCTCATGAATATGTGACAATTGATGAGCAGCTCCTGGGTTTTCGTGGAAATTGTCCTTTTAGAGTTTATATTGCATCAAAGCCAGACAAATATGGATTGAAAATAGTAACCATGTGCGATTCACGCACTTTTTACATGGTAAGTGCCATCCCATATATTGGAAAAGAAGTAAGAGCAAATGCAGAACCCTTACCACATTATTACGTAAAAAAGCTCTCTGAATCTATTCATGGAACAGGACGTAACATAACGATGGATAATTGGTTTACCAGTATTCCACTGGCAGATAATATGGTGAACAATTACAATCTAACTATTGTCGGAACACTACGTAAAAATAAAAAAGAAGTTCCTTCGTCATTCCTGGCAAACAAAAATAAAGAAGCGCTAACTTCGCAATTTGCCTTTGACCAGAAAAAAACGTTAGTGTCATTTACGCCAAAAAAATCTAAGTGTGTTCTATTACTGTCTACAATGCATAATACAAAAACTGTAGATCCAAATAAAAAGCCAGAAATAATTAATTTCTATAATTCAACTAAAGGAGGTGTAGACACGTTTGACCAGATGGTTCACACATATTCAGTCTCGCGGAAGACCAGAAGGTGGCCCTTACGATACTTTTATGGCATACTGGATCAAGCTGGTGTAAATTCAGGAGTATTGTTTCAGATGGTAAAACGCAATAGAGAAAAATGTATTCGTCGGCATTATCTATTTGAGCTCGGAATGCAGCTTGCAAGACCGCACATGGAACGCCGCTTAACAAAAAATTTGACCAAAAAATTGTCTTCATCTATAAGAACTATTCTAGGAATGGAGGAGGAAAATATAGCTGCAGTTCCACCTCCACCAAAACTTGCAAAACAAACTCGATGTGCATTGTGTCCAAGAATCAAAGACATTAAAACTAAAACAGCTTGTTCAAAATGTCATAAACCTGTTTGTAACACTCATCGTGTTGAAATATGTTCAGAATGCAATCAATAAGTTTCTAATTATTTTATCTTAAGCTTAGAATGTTATAAATAAAGCGTTTATTGTTTTGTCTTGTGTTTTTTATTTGTTTAGTTGTTTTTATCAACTGGGGTTACGAGTAACCCCACATAAGCAACTATTGGTGCAATTTTCACCTAAGCAGTCCAGGGTTAAACACGTTATAGCTGCCAGAATCAAATTTCTAAGGCGGTACCTATCTCCAATTGCGTGATTATGGTGAAGATTTACTTTTCATTTTCTTGGATGAGACATGGATATACCAGAACGGATCCATGGTGAAATTGTGGATCCATGATGATGACATCAAAGCTTGTCCTCCTAAAAAAACTAGTGAAGGGAAAAGATTCACAATTTTACATGCGGGTTGCTCTTTGGGCTTTTAGAGGGATGCGATTTTCTCCTTGGTTCAAAAATAAATTCACCAGATTACCACAAAACCATCACATTTTCGATATTTGACCTTTACTTACTTACATGTCACATTTTTGATACCTACTTTCTGACATTCCAGTAATACATTATGCACTAGAACAATTATGTCCGCAGTTACACAGCTTAAAAAAAAAAGTTACCAAATCTAGTTACATCTACCGAACGTGAATTCCTTATAATTATTTATTAATTAGTTGTATTATTTGACGTTTTCATACAATGTTATTTATAAATATGCCTACTTATATCTTTGTTTTAGGGTCTTCTTGCCAAGAAGTGGTTTATAGTAGGAAAGAGATTTATTTTATTTTAAAGAATCATTTAAGAGACGAGTTTTCTGATCTGCTAGATCATTTTAAGTTGATGGTATCAGAACGTAGTGGAAAATCGGTGGAAATTCGTAAAGATATGAAAGCATCATTTTCTACGCTATTTTCTAAAATGAGACAAAAGTTGCAAACTGTCAGAGGAAAAGTTTCTTCAAAAATACAGTGATTGGCTAAATAAACCCCTTACGTTTTCAATCTTAGAGAATGCAGTAGCAACGACATCATCAGCTAGAGCCAGACCAACAAAGGAATTTCAGTCATCCAGCGAAAGATCTAAACGCAGGAAAACTAAAGAACTTCGTAGTTCTTTTAGCCCACAAGAACTAGCGTATGCAACACAATCAAGTCTGCGTTCTACGGGTCAATTAGATGCGTGCAAACTTGTCAAAGAAGCTGCCCTTACTACTCCTACGAGGGCATCAAAGTACCGCAAGAGCTTTAAGACACCTCCTGCAACTCCTTTAACCAATGACAGTGCTCTTTCAATATTAATTGAGTTGAAGCTTTCGAAAAGCCAGTATCAAGGTCTACGACTAACAAGTTTGGAACAAAATTGCAGGCTCTATCCTTCTTATAAGAAGGTACTGGAAGCGAAAAATCTGTGTTACCCTCCGCGAACTGCTATGAAAATTTCTGAAAATAGTGCTGAAGTCGACCTGTTAGATCATACAGCTCAGCGTATAATACAAAGTCAAGAAACAGTTATTGATACCTTGAGTACTGAGGATTTACAGAACTTAAAACTTTTTTTAAAATGGGGATGTGATGGAAGTTCTGGCCATAGTGAGTACAAACAAACATTTGAAGGAGAAGATAATTCTGATACCAGCATATTTTTGACACCAGCAGTTCCTTTACAATTAGTATATACAGACGATAAGCTACATAAGGAAATAATAATTTGGAAGAATCCTAGAACATCACCTCCACGTTTTTGTAGACCATTACGAATGCAATTTCTTCAAGAAACTACAGAAGCCACTCGAACTGAGATAAGTTACGTCGAAAACCAAATAAATAACCTTTTACCTTTTGAAAGTACCTTTAACGAAAACAGATTTAAAATATCTTATATTATGAATCTAACAATGACTGATGGAAAAGTATGCAGTGCTATTACAGGAACAAAGTCATCGCAGCGTTGTTATTTATGTGGAGCAACTAGTAAAGATTTTAATGACCTTGATAAGATTTTAAAAAAACCTATTTTGAAAGAAAATCTTAGATTTGGATTATCCACTCTACACGCATGGATCAGCTTCTTCGAATGTGTCTTGCATTTATCATACAAAATTTCCATTAAAAAATGGCAAGCACGAAATGCTGAAAAGAAAAAGACAGTAAGCGAGAGAAAAAGGAAGCTTCAACGTGAATTTCGCCTGCAGTTGGGATTAATAGTTGACAAGCCAAAGCCTGGGTTTGGAAGTTCCAATGACGGCAACACTGCTCGACGCTTTTTTGCGAATTTTCAAGTTTCGGCGAAAATAACAGGCATTGACGAGACATTAATTAAACGTTTTTATGTCATCCTACAGGTAATCTCTAGTGGTTACGACATTAATTTGGAACTTTTCGAAAAATTTCGTATTAACACAGCAAAACTATTCGTTAATTTATATCCATGGTACTACATGCCCACTTCGGTACATAAAGTGTTAATACACGCAAAAGAAGTTATTGAAAAAGCAATATTACCTATTGGGCAGTTATCCGAGGAAGCTCAAGAGGCAAGCTCAAGTATCGTTCGGATTTTTCTCGAAAACTTTCCAGAGTGAAAACAATGGAAGATGTATTTAACAGACTGCTTGTTTCTTCTGACCCTTATATTTCGAGCCTCAGAAAGCTTCCAAAGAAAAAATTAAAACAATTTTTACCAGAAGCATTAGAACTGCTTATAGCCAGCAGTTCTCAAAATAAATTAGGAATTGTCTCGAAAGTAGATAGTGACTCTGAAATAGATTCTGAGTTAACTGATAGTGATTCAGAATAATTTGTATATATGTTTAGTTTTTCTCGCTTTTTTGTAATAAATATAGTTTTATTCTCGATTTTTTAACCAAAATGAATTTCATTGATTATCCCACTCATTTTTTACATTTGAGAAGTCGACATACATGGTCATTGTGTATTATTTATCAAAATCTCACGTGTTTTTTTTTCAATTTCCGCCATATTGCAGCCGCCATTTTGTAAATGATATTTTTATTAGCATATTCATAATTACCGGCCATAGAAACCCTTGTATACGAATTTTGATGCAAATTCAACTATGTTGGGTTTTTTGGCCGCAAATTTTAATTTTGGGACCAGTGTGCGTCGTATGTGGATATTTATTAAATATTTAATAATATAAGAACTGTTCTTTTGTTAGAATTAAAACACAATTGTCCATAAAATGCTTGTATTAAAACATCGATTTGTTCGGTATAAAATCTTTTGACGAATTATTTAAAGATCACAAATGCGCATATACCTACAGGTTGTTTAAAAGTGGGTATGGATACAGCGTAAATAGTTATTTCCGGAACGGTGTATAAAAACTATATATCGAATTCCATTTTCTGAAATATTATAATATTTATTTTGAAGATACAAGACCACGTTGACTTTTTTGAGTGGCACGAGCGGTCAAATCAATTTTAATATTTTTTAAAAAAGCGTGTCTTTCTTTATTTGCACTGAGAGGTAAAAAAATGCAAAAAAAAAACTTTTTAAGCTTAATTTTTTATTTCAGTTAAATGTGCCATTTTTATGATTATTATTGACTCATTTTTCCACAAATGCACAGGTGGTAAACAACTAATGATTAGGCTTCGGATCTTAGGTTTTTGCCTCTTTATATCTACTTCAGGCATTGCAGCGACATTTATATTTATCCAAATTTAAAAAATTCTGTTTATTTAACGCCCATTTATTACTACCTAAAATGCCTAATTTACCGTTAGAGACCAAAAGGGTTAACTAAACGACCTAATTGTAAATTTCAAAAGTCTTAAAATAGGATTCCACGACCAACGAAGCGGACGTGCTTGCCCAATAGAGATTTTCCGTGAATTCATTGTTTTGGCTGACAGATTGTTTAAAAATGGGTTGTAAACAAGGCCCTTGAGTTTAATGGTACGGGTTGGCGTCGCCAACTGCATTTCATTTAGATTATAGCCGGAAGGAGGTGAATCTCTGAAAAAGCATTTTATTTTAGAAGTTTATTGTTAGTGATACTGAGTGTCTTTGCGTGTTAGGGAGTGTGCTGGGCCCGGTTTTGATTGTTGTGCATACAGTAAAGAATCCTCAAAATGCCTAAGGTAAAATCATCCATGAAAGGTAAAATCATCCATGAAAGGTAAAATCATCCATGAAAGGTAAAATCATCCATGAAAGATAAAATCAAATTATGGTTAGGAAATAATTTGGACACTAATTTTCAATTTCCTTCTTCAACCAAAGACAATGAGTTGTTCTGCAAAGTGTGTGGAAAAGTTGTAAGTAAACATTTAAAATACTGAAGCTTGAATGAATTATGTTCACATTTTTGTTTCCTAGTGTAAGTGCGAAAAAAAAATCACACTTTGAACACTGCAGAGGCGATGCACATAAAAAGAACGAGAATAAATCCAGTAAACAGACAAGAGTTAAAATTGGTTAAAAAAAAATTGTGAAGAAAATAGTGAGTCCATACGCCTCCCGAAATACGGGAAATTTTAATTTGACTTTGCCACTGACATTCACTTGACATTTCTCGTCATAGCCACCAATCTTACCGATCTAAATTACATCTAAATTACACCAGATCTATTTCAGAACCCCTTTTCGCTATTAACGGAACCGCTATGACGTCATTTGGGTGCTTTAATAGCTCTATTAGAAAATCAAAAAACGTACGCGGTAGAAAAAAAATATTTTCACAATTTTGGAAGTTAAGCGATTATCTCTGTAACCAGGCTATACAGATGCATTAAAAAAATTAAGATTCAGAAATAGTCGATAAGAGTTAAACTTGTAAAAAAAGAAATTAATGATTCAGGTGTAATCGCATATATTCACTCGTTTCCGGCGTATCAGTCACTACTCAAGAAAAGATAATCCTGAAAAAACTATCTGAACAAAGATCTTAGCATACAAAAAACGTATATGACTTGTATGGGGAACAATGTGTAGAGACTAATATTACACATGTGAAAGAAAAATTCTATTACCATGTCTTTAACACGAAATCTCTAAACATGAAATAGTACATTACATACCGAGGCAGAAAGTATTTCATTCTTGTCGAGAGAACTATAGTTTACCGAGAGGCGCAGCCTCGAGGTGAACTAGTTCTCGAGACAGGAATGATACTTTCGCCGAGGTTTGTATACTATTTTATTCACAATCATATAATAATAATACAAGCAACAATACAATAATAAAAGATCTGCGTCCATAATAATACGTGAGGTTTATTTCCGTAAGATCTTAACACTTAGTAGGCGCTGCACGCCTGCACGATCGACACTTTGTTAAATTATTAGTTAATAAAAATCACACCAAATTTGTAACCAAATTTCCATTTTCTAAGTTTTTTAACAAATAAAATGTCTGATCGTGAAAGAGAGTTTACTCCTCCAGAGTTGCGGGAATCCGCAGAAAAATTAACCATCAGCCGTTACAGACTTTCATATTATGTCTTATGTCAATTATGTCATTCGTTAAATTGTCAACATAACCTCGTTCGTAATAGTGCCGGTTATTTGTTTGCGTTTTTTAACGAATTTCAATGATAAATAAGTCGTAAGTACATTCTTTGTATATAATTCAATGTTTTGAATAGCAATGAGCATAT